TTTTTTTTTTTTTTCATTCCAAAAAAACTAGATACCTATAAACATAAAAAAATTTGAAAAGTTAAGAAAAACAAAATTAAAGATGGTTATTTAAACTGTTGTAGCGGAAAAAATTTCCCTTTTGACCAAAACTTCTAACACATTTTTGCCTTGGTTGATGAAAGAAAATAGCTCTACGAAACAAACAACAACAATGAAGAAGAATTAATAAAAAAGATGCCTGAAAGCCAACAGTTTTTGCAAGTTAAATGATGATAAAGATGATGGTGATAATGATGATGACGATGATGAGGGGAGATGGGAAGGGGGGTTTTTAAATCGCAAGTTATATATTACATATATCTGAAGCATTTAGCCGACAATAAAACACCAAGGCTGTTAAAACGTTTTAGTTCGATGGCAATGCATCACAGCTATTTAGCTGTTACTGACACATTTGTTACGAAAAGATATTTTTGAATTTGTTAACGCGCGAAAATATGTCTGTAGGATTGAGGTGTCAAGCGCTTGGATAACAACGACAGTCACCGCTTCTCTGTGGACTTTGTTCATCCTCGTGGTCAGGTTCCATTGAGTTTTTGCTGCTGTTCGCTGCTTATGAATTTTATGCTGGCGTTTGAAGCCTGTGCGGCCATTCTTCCGAGAAGCTCTGCTGTCTGATTTGATCGTTTTTGTTGACTGAGATTGATTAATAAGAACTTTTTATGATTGGTGTTGGGTGTAACGCTCCATGCAACTAACCGCACATCAAACTAATCTGGGCTTAAACAGCTTGTTTGTTTGAAGACTTAAAGCAAATGCGTTCTGGTTGTTGTTCTCATTCACTGTTTTGTTCTTCAGGTTTCTTGTCGGTATTGTAGTGTACAACTTTTTTTTACACCAACATTTATGATGGAATATGATGATACACAAAAAACTTGTTCTGCGTCTGCAACAAATGGATTATCATCTCCACCGTTAAAAAAGCTCAGAAGTGATGCTGCAGTTGGTGAAGTTAGTACTTCATTTGTTCTCACTACCTTTATCAATGCAAAGATATTTCTGCTGCTTTTTTTCGCTAAGGACTGCTGCTGTTTTCTTCTTTTTTTGATTTTTTTGTGAAGTTTTTGTTTCAAAATTTTTATGAAACAGCATGCTGATACATGAGTTTCAGAGTGACGATGGCAATAAACGACTGGTTTTAAAATTCAAAAAGTTAGGTAAAAATGCTACGGCACCTAGCTACGGTTCTTCAAATGCTGCTGGAGCGGATCTTTACAGTGCATGTGACTGTACTGTACCTCCCAAAGGTACTGTTTGCGAAGATTCAAGTTCACTGTTTGATGGAACTCAAGATCTATGCTGTTTATCAGCTGTAAGTGGACTCTTTTTACGCATATGAAGTATTAGTAGCTGTAATTTTTCAGGTAAGTATCTCGTGCCTACAGAAATACAAATCGAAGTTCCTGAGGGGTGTTACGGCAGGGTTGCCCCACGTTTCGGACTTGCAGATAAGAATTTTGTTGATGTTGGAGCTGGCGTAATTGATCCTGATTATAGAGGAGAAGTCAAAGTTCTTCTATTCAACCACGGAACTGAAGAATTAAAAGTAACGTTTTTTTTTTTTTTCAACCGTAAATTTACGTTTAGGGTTTAAGCACACTTGAGTAAAACTCCATGGTTATTTTTATTTTTCAGGTGTGCAAAGGTGACCGAATTGCACAGTTGATTTGCGAACGATTTGAACGCTGTGAAGTGCTTGAAACTGAACTTGACGTTACTGATCGCGGTGATGGAGGTTTTGGTTCCACTGGTGTCTAATACTTTAACCGATTTTGGTTGGTAAAAACAAACAATTGAAATGTCTGTAATTTCTGTGAGCTTGATTATTGTCTTATAAAACTGCTCTGTTGTCATCTTGGGAGAGCTTTTTTACATCATAACTACACTAAAAACTGGCCACTGTAGAAGATTTACAGTCTACTTCTATAGCTTGGGTTTTGTTTCAGTTTTTTACAACCAAATATTTCATCATGATCGACTGCTTACTTTAATTTCTATGGTGTTTTACTTGTTAACAGTTGTTAGATATTATGTTGGAATAAAAAAACTTCAATATTTTATGTTTGTTTCACATTCGCATTTAAAAGCACTTCAATTAGAGGGT